ATTTTATCCATGGAGCATTATCACCCTCCCTCTATCTCTACAATCTTACGAGCGTCCCTACAAAAAGTATCCCTTGGTTTTCACAACGGACGGTGAAGATAACCTATTCTCATGCAATTCCAAAAGGAAAAAATCTGCAATCGTACCTTGCTAGCAGTCATCTTACTAACACAACAACTTATCTCTGTCATCTATCTCGAGAATGTCTGGTTGACGAGATTACACCACTTTATATTACTCCGGAAATCCATGTTTTCCCACAGGAACATTAGAATACAGTCGATACACTATAGTTCTAAAAAATAATGGTAGTTATTCATCTCCACGATCATTTACTTATGGTACAAACGTTCACGACTATTGCAAGCCATCGGATGTGAAATCAAACAATTAAAGACTTATATAAAACGAGACTATTTACTTTTGATACAAAGATTTAGATTATTGTTTTAAATATCTATAAGGGAAATATTTTAAAATACCTATGAGAAATGAACTATTTAATATTGGAAAAAGTATACAATGAGATCATTTATCTTTAGTACAAGGTGATTACAATTAATCTTGACCTTTGAATGTGAAATTAGATGGCTTTACTTATTCCATTGACCAAGCTCAAACTTCAAGAAAATTTTTTCAAACGTTGTGACACACCCAAGCTATTAGATTTCACATGGGATGGCTGTACATAATTGTGACTACCTTGTATAAAAGGCAAAGGGAAAGTATACAATGAGACCATTTATCTTTGGTATAAGGCGGTCACAATTGTTCTTAACTATTGGATGTAAAATTAGATGGTTGTATTTATTCCATTGATGAAGCTCAAACTTCAAAAGAAATTTTTTTGGGTTTTGTGATACACCTTAGCTATCAAATTTCACATCGGATAGTTGTAAATAATTGTGATATCAAAAGTAAATGATCTCATTGTATACTTTTCCATTTCAAAAAACCTATCTAAAAAGACGTAACCATAAGTTGGAACAGTGATAAATATAGAGAATGTTAAATAGTTCTTCTGTCAAGGGTATTTTGATAAATTTCCCCGCCTATAAATATGTGGTTGAATGGTTATGAGTATTTTAAAATTCAACTTGTCCTTGTGAAATAGTGTTTTAAAACATATATATCAATGGAGTGGATCACTACCTGTCGATTCTAATCCCAATCGGCCAAACCTGATATCCAAATCGAGAGAATCGAGATAAAAAAAGCAAAAAAAAAAAATAGGAGGAAAAATCTTTATTTAAAATAAAAAAAATAGATTTAAACATAGATTTAAGTCATTCTACATGTGAATCATCTTAATGATTCAATCAAGGAATCTGACCAACAATATCTCATACAAATCCGCATCATTGATTTCTCAAACGCCGTTCCTTGTTTTTGTACATTTGCGATCGCGGTATAATAGCAACGCTTTTTAATGGGACTGGTGAGGAGGTATTTTCTTGACAGATGACAATTGATTGTAGGAAAAAGTTTTTATTAGGTTTTGACCTTATGCTATAGAAGTAATACGCATCTAAACAATACACTTAAAAAAAGGCTGTTCCAATGTTATAGAACCTCCAACTCATAATCTCGATCTCGAGATGTATGACAAAAAAAATATTTAAATTTAAAAAATAGTGTATCTTGTAATGCATTGTGAAGGATGAGTTGGGAATTTTGATTCCATGTGTTTGTTATCAAATGAGTACATTTTCTGTGTAAATTCAAAGGGAAAAGTTTATATAGAGTCGAGGCTTTAAACAATCAAATTTAAGCCTACCTCAAAACTCTCACAAGAAGAGGTTGTTTTGATGCCTAAATATTTTCAAATTGATCATCTCGACATCAAGATGCATATAAAGGAGAAAAAAAAGGATTTCAACTTTTGGAAATGGTGTATTTTGTAACGTATTTTTCGACGGTGAATTTTCATGATTTTCAAGTGTTCATAGATCTGTCGATCGATACTATTTTTTGAAGCTTTAAACTTTATAAATAAATATAAAAATATCTTTTAAGACTATCACAAAGATTTCTCGTATTGAAACCATATTTCTCGATACTAATTTGATTGTTTAGAGCCTAGGCTCTATACAAACCGCACCCAAATTCAAAAGCCCCCTGTTTTTTTTTATTACAACTACCCTTATGTTTGGCAATTACAACACATACATGCAATTACAACACAGACAGAAGGGAAATACACATGTTTTCAAATGTTTTTTATAATTATTTATTTCTGTTACAATATACTATTTATTTATTCCCTTACCCAAAATAATGATAAGGATTCCTTTTAGATGTCAAATTTTAGGGATATAAAACAACATATAGAATAATCTCAGCAAAAAAATTTCAGAAATAAAATCTCTAATACTAGAAAAAAATAATACCTCAAGATTGAATAGAGATCATCGAATTTTTGAATGGTTAGATCCATGTACCATAAAACTCAAAATTTTTAAATAATCATCTAGTAATTGTTACTTGGTTCTCAAAATTTTAGACAAAAAAAATCAATACAACTAGGTGTTTTGGTTGAGGAAGTAGATGCAGAGTAAGCCCCGTGGAAGCACACTGTATGCAATGTATAAAGAACATACGAGGACGTGTTTTTCCCTCATGTCTGGTGTCATAATTGCTTGATAGTCAGACAGTTATGGAGAGGATAAAAAAGGCTGCCGACGAGGGGGTGTTCAAGGTAATTTACACCAAAAATGACCCAGTAGATAATAAACGAGTGAAAACAGTGTCCGAACGTAAATTTTTTCTTTTTTATTATTTTTTAAAAAAACTGAATTTAGGATGCATCAAAGATATTTGAGAAAGTTTTAGGTCACCTAAATCCCCCAACTATAAAGTTTTGGCCACAAGATGAATTGTACATTTTTGCCTTGCAGGTAGGTGCACCTCATGCGCACCCTAACCTAATTGAGAATCATTTGGATTGGATGGTTTGAGGTGAGTCAAGAACCTAATTGAGAATCATTTGGATTGGATAGTTTGAAGTGAGTCAAGAAGTTTCGATATATATATATATATATATTAGAATTTTATGGTCATTCAATGATATTTTTATAATCACCGATTTTTAAATATAAAAGAACATAACGATCGTGACCTCTGAATACGAAAGATAAACGATTTTTTTTTATATCCAGTTCTTAAATTCGCCTGAACATATTAAATATTTTAAAATTAGGTGGCTGCTTGTCAATCAATGGCTTGCGCAAAATGGTGGGCCATAAAAAGCAGTATCGATAAAAAGGTTACTCTTGCTACGCTTAAAAGAAGTTAAAAAAAAAACTAACAACAAAATTCTTCCTACACTTAAAAGGAATTAAGGGGTTGGGGTCACGTTTTGATTCGATTATTGGAGAGAGAAATGGGTAAAGTTTTGATTCCATTGCCAGAGGAGAGAGAAAGAGGTGGGCAAGATGTAGTCTGCTAGAGAGAGAGAGAAAGGAAGAAGGTGCAGCGTCAGCTAAAGAGGCAGCAACAAAACTTCT